GGGTTCTATCTGTGAGTTAGCCATGCACTGACTTAGATCAGCCCAGATTGTTTCAGGGTTCAATCTGTGAGCTAGCCATGCCCTGACTTAGATCAGCCCAGAGGTTGTTTCAGGGTTCAATCTGTGAGTTAGCCATGCCCTGACTTAGATCAGCCCAGAGGTTGCACCACACAGTTAAAGGTTTTTTCTCAATAACATTTGAAACGTCTACACTCATAACGGTTCAACTATTATTTCCAGAAATCTACCACGACTACTTCACAACGCCTTATTTCATTTTCCAACGGGACACTCTAAGCTACCTTGTACTGTTGGCCCTTCATTTTGCAATGAGCATTCGACCATCTACCCTTCACTTTGCTGTAGTGGAATGGATCATCCTCCTGTTCTTCTTGGGAAGGTTTATGATGGAAGTTTACCAAGCTGTGAATGGGCTCAAAAATGAGAAAGAAAAGATGAAAGAGGGAATAGCCAAACGACAGAGGATCCGGAATAAATTATCCAAGATGTTGTATAAATATCTAAGGTAAGTTGGCAGTCCCACGACATACACGACTTTCATAATCTAAGTTTTTTTCTGATAGAGAAAATTGGGCCTTTTTACTAAAAAATATCCATGCTATTTGAGAAAATACTTCATGAAAACTATTTCCAGGAATTTTTTTTTAATTTGACTAAATACCAAAGAAGTTATGGAAGCTTAAAAATAGAAAGTTTCGTAAGTATTCATCACTAGCTGAAGGCTTTAATTGGTGGCCTTTGGTGCATTTTCAAAACTTCAAATATCTTGTCAACAATTTATTACTCTCATTATCACACATCAGGGGCGGATCCAGGAATTTGTTCAGGGAGGGGTGCAGCGCACATATTTAACCCAGGGAGGGGTGCACCCCTTAGAATCAAAGGGAAAAACAATATTTTGTATTGGTTAAATCTTTGAAGTTGGGGCACAAAGTCGAACCAGGGAGGGGTGCGCGCCCCCTGCACCCCTCCCCTGGATCTGCCACTGCACATTAACTAAATCAAAAAGTTCAATCATTTGGGTTTTCACTCCAAAAAAAACTTTAAACTCTTATCAGCCATTTATGAAAATCCTCGTGAATAGATAGTGAGGCAATCGATTTTTAAGCTCTTTTATGCCTGAAGAATAAACACAACATCTGAATTTTCCAGTAATTTCTAGCAGATTTTCGACCATCCCTCGATTACAACTCGTACTTTCTTGTGTTTTTTAAAATCTACTCCCAGTTCATTGGCCATCCATCATTACCTTGCAGATAAACTACAAAATCTAGCTAATAGTCCCTTTGCAGTTATCGGTCATGTGTCTGTACTAGTGAGCAAATTTTTTTAAAATTTTAAATTGATGATTCTTTTTAGTTACTTGTAAAGAACTGGATGAAACGATGTGTAACCAGTGTGTTACGAAGTGCAGTTTTATTATGATCTCTCGAAACAGGTTGTAGAAAGTTTGTTTGTTCACCAGTATATTTCACCCATGGGAATCAAGATGTTCATTCATTTCTCTCAGTGAATTAATCAGCACGTGATTACTGAGCTGCAAAGGACCTATTACTGGCACTGATTACTGTTTATTCGGGAGTAGTGAATTATTTCAAGAATGCATTACACATTGTCTCAATGCGCTTTACGTTTATGACCAGTGGAAGACTTTACGGACTGAATAGTAAGCTGTGCAGCTTACGACAGCTTCAACAGTTTCTTTTATGTCCCCACACATTCTTACTGCAGGCTTGAACCACGACCTCCCGCACAACAGACCGACGCCTTTACCAACTGAGCTAAATGCAGGTGGCGGTTGTTTGTATATACTTATTTCAAATAAAGTTAGTCACCCAAAACCTAGAAAGCTGCGATCACTGAGGATCATGGGAAACGATTCATTTCAAACAGGTAAAGCTTTTTTGATACAAACTGCAGCATGAGGATGCTCAGAAGAGGCGAGACTGTAACTGCTAAAAGATGTGCAAGGGCATCATTAGTTATCAAGCGGTTGAAACATGTAAAATGTATCTACCCATAATTCTTGTCGGTCTCAGCGTTGTCGCTTTTTAGTTTACTAGCTTTATTGAAATAAGTATATCTATATGTCTAAAGAACCGAAAGATAACAAATTAATCAATTATTATTTGAATCAAATTAGTGACCAATGGAACGTTMTAGATGCTACCACCCTCATCGTATACGTCATAATTCTGATTCTCCGAGTGATCACGTGGTCTGCTTATACTTCTGTTTCAAACAATCGCCTACTGGCCGTAGCAGGATATTTTTATGGCTTGAATTGCATGCTTTTGACGTTACGTGTGTTTGGTCACATCATGGAGTTTAAGAAAACCACGGGGACTATTCAGATAGCTTTGTTTCAAATCATTGGAGCTGTTCTTGCTGTATTTGGACAGTTTTTCGCAGTTCTCGTTGCTTTTTCCCTCGCCATTAGCAAGATTCGCATGACAGAACTTTCGTATGCAGGGACACAAAGTACTGTTTCTTTTAAAAGGTAAAAGGAACTTGTTTTGAGACTATCGTAACAACAAATGGAGTACAGATACTGAATGAATGGAACATGAGGTGAAAGGGGGTCCAGATACTGAATGAATAGAACATGAGGTCAAAGGGGGTCCAGATAATGAATGAATAGAACATGAGGTCAAAGGGGGTCCAGATACTGAATGAACGGATCATGAGGTCAAAGGGGGTCCAGATACTGAATGAATGGAACAAGTCAACTGTTAGTTGGTTAATTCCGATTACTAGTCTTAAAGTAACATTGTTCACATTTCCCCCTAGCTGGTGGAACATAGCAAGGCATCTTTTCTGGTCCTTACTCATAGAACCAGAACTACTTCAGTCATCAGACGAGACGTCGAGTGTCCTTATTCAGATTCTTTATGGGTTGTTTTTGATAATGGCCGTGGTGATGCTAATGAACATGATGATTGCTCTTCTAACGAACACATACCAGCAAGTTGAGGTAATAAAGTAGATCGTTATTTAGTTAGATATACCATCTATAATATAGGAATAATGTTTACAGTAGTTCTGTAGAGTGACTCTTCTTCCATGGGATTTTTGCAATTTAGGTGATATTTTTGCGGAGAGATGAAAGCTGGTGGCTTAGCTTAGTCCTCTTCGCTCATTAGGAACATAGGCCCTTCATCCTTGTCCTCCACCTCACTCTGTTCTCAGCTGTTTTCTTGGGTCTTTCTTGGTGTAGTAAGGTTTATTGTATTTCTGGGTTAGGGTTTTTGTATTGCAGGGTATTGTTTAGCTCCAAACTCATTGTTCTCGGCCATTTTGTTGTTACTGTTTACTGTTTTATTGTCTTCATGGCAACACCAAGAAAGAGCCGTTTTCTTTGCCTCTTCCTATGCGATGTTTGCGTTCTTCAGTTCTGCCTTTCGTGACTGAAATGGCCTCCCCACTTTTCTTTTTCCTTGTGGGTTCCAATACAATGCTCTTCTTGGTTTAGGATCCTCTTACCTTCGTAAGGTATGCCCAATCCACCTCCAAGCCTCTCCTTCACAACAACACCCAAGCTGGAGGACTCAGAGAAAAAAAACCTCGAAGCACAGAAGGGAGCCAACAAGCAACTGTACTCTCATAAGAAGCCGACTTCGGGAATCATCACACTCTTTATTATTATTATTTTGACAGGACAATGCTTTTTACGAATGGTCGTACAAGAAAGCAGCAACAATCAACACCTATTGCAACTACCATTCTGTACCTGTACCATTCAACATCATCTCTCTTACTTTCCTCCTGGCCCGGTACTTATGTAAGAAGATTTGTTGTCATGAGTGCTCTACCGCGGATATTGACAACGACCCTGAAAAGGTAGGTTTCTTTTGAATCATATACCTCATCGTGGCTCGCAAGAAAATCCTTGGGTCCTTGGGTCCTGGGGTCCTGGGGTCCTGGGGTCCTGGGGTCCTTGTCCTTGTCCTTTTCCACCTGCTCCTCCTCATCGATTTCAAAAGCCTGGGGGTATCTATTCCTAGATCCACTATTGCTGTTGTTACACACTGTTATTATTTAGGAGTTGATATAACTCCAAAAGTGGAGTAGAAAAAAAAGGTACAGGATAACTCCTTTTTTGGAGTAACTTAAACTCCACTGATTTAACTCCCTTCTAAGAGTAAAATTTACTCCCATGAAAGAGTAACATTTACTCCCATGAAAGAGTAACATTTACTCCCATGAAAGAGTGACTTCTACTCTACATGGGAGTTGTTTTGAACCCCCTAACAGAGTCAAATTTATCCTTTCGGAGTTGTTATAACCCCCTGTTTGTCACCTTTCAAAGGAGTAAAATTTACACCTTTTCAGGAGTAGATTTTTTCTTACTTTTTAAGCTTCATCAATTCCCACTGTACGTTGAAGAATAATAACACAAATGACTACAAAACTACATTTGGTTAAAAAAATGTTTATTACATATGATAATTTACTAACAATACAGCAATATAGTTACAACCAGTAATGCCGAATTGATAAGTATATTTAATAACAACATTTGATGTCGCCTGCGTTCACTGCATGACACAATCTCTACTCATACTTCTTCATTTTTCAGTWACAGTCAAACCAGCTAATACGTTCCTATCAAGGCTAGAAGRTTCAGTCAATTTTTCAGAATCTTATTTCGAGTTTGTTTTGAAACTTGTATTTAATAATACGGGCACAGATGAAAACCGTCTTATGTCTTCACAGATATGCACAAAACCAAAATCATTTCACTGTTGTATAGCTACYAACTCAAACCCATCTGTCGAAGATCATTACAACCGCCAATACAAGTTTCAAAACAAATTCGAATTCAAATTTCTGTCTATATGGTTAATGCCGAGCATGTTTGGCTTCATCGAGCGCCATCGACAAACATGATCATTAACAATCCTCTTAAATCTTTTCATTCTTTAACCATCGGTCCCTTTTTTCARTGTTCCAGCTGTGTCGTATATATTTTTCTACCGTATATATCAGTATTTCTTGAAGGAATACAAATCTTGGAAGACAGTTTCGTTTCGAATTTACCTCATCGTCAACAAGCTTGGTGAGGTGCGAGCCTCGTGCTTTACTCCGGCAGAAACCAAAGGATCATACAATAATTCAGCACCCATAACCTACGAGAGGACAAAAAAAGCTTTTATTAATGATTTATCATACTCAGCAATATACAAGGATGCTTAAGCTTAAATAAGAGCATCGCTTTGCAGTTACAGAACACCGAAAGCTTTCAATTTCTATCATTATTAACAAAACAAACTTAAGTTTAAACTTTCTGATCTAAATAATACRAACAAAATAGTAATTTACCTGCACAATATATTGAATCCTTTGAAAGTAAGTCATCCATTACCACAAAAGTTACTTTTGAAATAACAATTCAATGRGTTTAAGGCTGGTTTTTAACTTCAAAACACCGAGACAAGCACTTTCCAATTCCAAGATTAGTACGTTGCTGCGGGAAATAGTGATACTCTATACCAGGTCATAGTCCAAAAACATCCCTGGCATTGCCGATGTAAGATCCACCAATCACGATCAAGAAAATTTGATACAAGCATGTAATGTGCACGTGGTCTAACGAGTCCAACCTTCATGTCCTGTGTGGTATAGATCTTGTGCGAAGACCTACAAAAATGTTCTCTTTTTAAGAAACATCTGATTCGCAAGCACTTCATCACGAAAGATACACAACACGATTCATAAGATGACGACTCTGGAAGTCTTTGAGTGCTCTAGCGCAAGTGAAGTTGATCTGACGAGCGAGGAGCGCCAAGAACTTTACCATCGGTACGATCGTGCAGAGAATGGACAATTTGACCCACAAAAAAAGCCAAAAAAATGAAAACGGCATATGCTTTTTCCCTTGTGAAACTTAAAGAAAGGAGTCGAGTGCTACAGGCAATTATAGATTTGTGTACGATACGTCAGAGTTAAAATTACTCTAAGGTCGCATTAACGAAAGGAGTTGAAACAACTCCCGTCAATTTAACTCCAAAAATAGAGTCAAACTTACTCTGGTTGTTTCCGTCAAACATGAATTAAAAACAGCATGGTTTATCTTTTTTATCTAAAAATAGGCTTAAATCTACTCCATTATTGATAATGTACTCTTTATAGTAATGTTCAACTGTTCGTCATTTCCAAAGAGTTAAATTTACTCTTGGAGGAATACATTTTACTCTTGGAAGCGTTAAAATTACTCCCATTGTAGAGTAGATTTAACTCTCTTTCAAGTTACTCCACTCTGTAGAGTAACTTTAACTCTTTTGATAGAGTTATATCAACTCCTGAAAAATAACAGTGCATTGTTGTTGTCATTCTTGATAGGAGCGTCATCGAGGCAGTGCAATGGACAAGAAAACGGTAAACGCTCTTCCTTAATTTTGTTTGTCATGAGAATGACACWTCACATGGTACTGATAAAACCGTTTTCCTCTTTCTATTCAGCCGTTTAGTCAAATGATAATCGAACTAGAATCTATCTACTACTCCGTCTATGGTGACGAATTCCCCATTACTGGTTCGTAAAACTTTTCCACATTTTCTTCTCCTGCTTTTAAATGGCAAACGATATTCATTGCAGAAAATTGACATTTATTCAGGTGACCGACTAGATCATGTCATGAAGCACACTGAAGACAATCGTCAACTTATTGGACACATTGCAGAACGGTTATTCAATTATGGTTCGGGTACGACTGAAGGGGTTGTTTCTGATAGAAGGCAGAAATGGGATGTCAAAGGGATTGGTATCCTTGAGAACCGCTTGTCGTACGACTCCTGTGAATGTCACCAATGTAGTAGGGATTATAAGCAATATCATGGGGCGAAGTATCTTGAGCCTTTATCTCCAGAAATGCCTGGTTTTGAGGTGAGTCTCCTATATCTTACGAAAGGTACGTTTTTATTTTTTCTTGGGGGGAGGGAGGGGGGATGCTACAGGATTCGCAGTAAACTTTCATTCTTTAAGAAATTCATGACCTTCCAATTAAGTCAACAACGAAAAGCTATCTTTCTCTCTATTTGAAGGTTCCCTATATCATTTCTTTGTACAGATACTAATTGTAGAGGCCAGCAAAACTAACCATGATCTAATACTGGGAGTTGTAGACGACGACTTTGACCTTCATAAAATACCTGGAATGGAGGGGAATACAGTGGGGTACCAGGTAGGGAAGGAGATCATATGTGACGCCACTACGCAAAGAGGCAATTGTTTGCCAAGTGAGTAGACACTGAAGTTATCGTATACACCTAATTCAAAAAACGTTGTCATCGACAAGGGCGATAGGCGATAGGTCACTCCGACATGGAAATGGTTTCGTTGAATACAAAGAACATCGAATCAGTCTCAGCACTAAGGTCCATACTCTTGACGAGAATAATACACAAATCATTCCAGCTATTCTTGGACCTTGGAATGACACATATCCTATCGCTTTTCGCCTATTGCCTATCGCCTTTGGCGATGACAACGTTTTTTGAATTAGGTGTATTTACACATTCCCGGAGGAGAGCGGTTTTTCATCAACCTTGGGAAGTCTAATAGAAACGACACTGGTGAAAAACGCACTGCGCACGCTCGGAGATGGCGTAGCGTAACTAAGGGCAACTTATATTTTTGATGCCGGTGTTTTGATTGTTTTACCAAATCGGAAAACTTAAGAAAAATCCTGAAAACTCAAGGTTGTCCTTTTGACAATAGCAAGATAATTTCGATTGTGATACACTGCTGATTTATACAAAAAAACTTTTGTTTATACAAAGCAAAAATAATCTTTGAAAATACCGCCACTATCGGCCCGACGTCGACATCCAGCATGGCTAATTTGCAGATAATCACATGGTCGGAT